CAATACCGGACAGAAGAGAGATAATGTCCTGTGAGGTCATCTTCAGATTTTCCCAGCCAGTCAGATAACCATTACCTGTTGTCCAGTAGCGGTTGTAATAAACATCGCCATTAATACCGTAGAAAATAATGGCCTTTGCTGTATATCGCGGCTCCGGTGGATTATTGCGTGCCTCAACCCACCGGATGCGGACCATCCCGTTAAACAACACACCTCCGGATATGATTTTACTGTCACCCTCAACAAAATATTCACCCGGCGTCGCATTCCTTACCCAGGACAGAAAATCATCCCCTGTGTTAAAACGGATACGCTCTGCGGGCAAAAAAATATGCCCAAAACCAAATGCGCCAGGTGTCGCCAGACGCCCTTCAGTCCGGTCACGAATGTCGCTCTGTGGCGTCATTGTGGCAGCGCTTTTCAGTCCAAGATTATCACGGGATTCCTGCTGAGCCTCTTCACCTTCATCAGCCAGCTCTGATAAACGATTCGCCGTTTTCAGTGTCGCAGATAACGCAGTATCAATATCCTCCCTGACATGCTCTGCATCAGATGCGGCCTTTTTCGCGGCTTCAGCGTCCTGCCTGACCTCTGCGGCGGTATCCTCAACCCGTGAGACCAGATTTTCGGCCTGTTGTTTACCCTCCGCAACCGCGTCGGCGTTCTGCTGAACACCTTCCACCAGTTTTTTTACATCTTCTTTTGCCCGGGCGGCAGCGTCTGCATGTTGCCCTGCCTGTCGTTCGCTTTCTGTTGCCGTTTCCGCGCTCTGCTGCGCCTGCGCCACCATTTCCTCAAATCGTTTCACGACATCCGGCTTCAGGTCACCTTCATCGATGGCTGTCAGAAAATCATTCAGCGTGCCGGGCTTTGAATCGTGGTAAACCGAAATATCACCGACACAGTATTCCCTTTCAATACACGACCGAAGATAAACTTCATATTTTCCGGTCTGAGCTTCAAAAGCATATTCTCCTGCCGGACCTGTCACCACTGTCGCCACCGTTCTCATGACCACTGCGGATGTATTCTGTCGGGCTTTCAGAATAATATGGTATCCGGACATGGGGAGTCCCGCGCCATCCGTCAGCACACCCGAAATTAATACAGACATTTTTATTTCCTGATTCAGAAAACATTAACCAAAATAATTGACGCCTTTTTTCTCGCCACTGGCTTTCCCCTTTGCAGAAATATCCGTGGCCAGCGACAGATTCAGCGAAAATCCCTGCCCCGGTGACAACGAAAATTCCACTGACTCTGCCTGCCAGTTATGGTCCTCCCGTACCCCGAAGCCCCGTGTGATAAAGCGCACTTCCGCCCCCGCTTTCAGCAATACCGGTCGGCAGGGCAGCGTTATCGTCATCTGACGCCCCGCTTTCTGCACCCGCTTTACCTTCGACTGTGCACAATGTTCTGCCGTGCTCTGGTCTGGCTGGGTGAAGGGATGCCGCTTGTCTGTGGACTCCACATCCACTTTAAGTTCACGCGTGCGACCATCAGACGGAGTAAAGTACCTGACACCAACCTTTCCCCCTTTTCCGCCTCCGGATGCCCCCTGCCGATCGCCCTCCCGGTAATCCCAGTCTGACACCATATCCGGTGTGATGGTCATCACTGGGGCATCCCTGCCTCCGGTACTCTGCGACGCACCATACTCCAGAAATAACCAGTAACCGTTCGTCGGTTTACTGGTGGCACCGTACATCCCTGCAAGCCGGGAAAGCAGGGACGCATCCGACTCAGATGACTGCATCACCCACGGAATACGAATTTCCTCCAGTACCGGAGATACCCGCGCCACCAGATTATTTTCAGTGGCGATCGTTTTTACCAGGTCACCCAGCGTGACATCGCTGAAGGCGCGGGTTTTCAGTGCAGTCACATCTGCACCATGCCTGGACGCATTCATGGGGGCTGCTGTGGCATAAATGGTGATCCGGCGGGGAGGGCCACCGCTTGCCACCTGACAGACAGTAAAGCTACCCTTATTCACCAGACGTCCGTTAAACCCCAGCCCCAGCGTTAATACTGCGCCTTTCGGTGGCAATGCCAGCGTTTCACTGAACAGCGTTATCATTAACTCATCAGCCCGCTTTGTGGCAGCACCATTATCGGTATAACGCAGTTCAGCCAGTCCGCGTTTTATTGCTTTCGTGATATCCTCGCCTTCCACCGTCAGACTGAAATCCGGCTGATATTCATTCAGTCCCATAACTGAAACGTCTCCTTCTCTTCCGGCTCATATGTCCAGTCCGGTAACACGATTTCCACCCCGGACGGATACACCGGACCAAGATCAGCCAGCCCGGGATTAGCCTCCAGTACCGCCGCCAGTGACTGGTTGAGTCCGGCGCTGCCGTAGTGTCTCTGACAGATATCATCCAGCATATCGCCGTCAGTGGTCCGCCAGTTTTTCGCCATAGTATTTCAGCTCCAGTGTGAACGTTTTGTTTTTCGGCGCACCGCCGGGAAGAAAGGACGTGGTGTTATCTGAATAGGCGGTTACAACAAAATACCCCATCACATCCCCCGTCCCGGAAACCAGCAGATGCGGCGCAGGATTTTTATCCACCATCTGAACCAGCGTATCAAGGGCATCCATCCCCACACCGTCACGAAATCCCGCATGAACCATCCCTTCAAGGCTTATCGTTCTGGCCCCCTTACCGGTATACTGCAACAGATCCTTTTTTCCGATTAACTGCTGCTCATCCCATCGCCATTCCATGGTGCGCTTCATGGCGTTATACGCCGCAGAATCAATACTGAACTCAAACTCACCAAACGACAGCATGACCCGCGAGGCCACATCGGTTAATGAACCAATCCTGTCCCATGCCCTGCGCTCAATCATGTTTGCGCCAAAGCCAACAAAATCCACCATCGTCACCCCCAGAATGCATAACTGTCGGTCATGCTGGCCCGCTGGCCAAAATCAATATCACCCAGATTTTTCGTCACCCTGTCTGCCAGCTGTCCGGCATCCTCGCCGGGCTTCTGGGTGAGGTTAAATTCAGCCCGTATCTGATACGTGGGTTTTACTTCCACCTGGCTGATACTGCCCGGAACGTAGTGAAGCGCAGAAAGAGGATCCGTTTTTTCCTGCCCCTGTTTTGTAGCGGGTGGGGTGTCATACTTCGCGAGGACATCAAGCGCTTTCTTTTCCCATCCGTCAAAGTCCGGATCGTCTTCTGGCCCCAGAAAAGGCTCGAGGGACGCCTCAAATTTTTTATCGTCATCACTCAGGAAACCGCGTGTGTCTGTATACGCCTTCACAACCTGCTTCGTCAGATCGGGATTTTTTTTAAGCTGATCATCAAACCATTTATCCTGCCCGTTCCTCTTCGCCACTGCCCTTGCCAGCTCTGGCGAGCCTGTTTTTGCCAGATATTCCAGCACCTCACGCCGGTCACTCCGTGGATCTTCAGCCAGCCCCCACTCGATGGCCTTTTCAGTGAGCCCGGCAATGACTTTTCCAAAATTCCACGCCCAGGCCGTCACCTTGATCAACATCGGCAGCGCGTCCTCTCTGATAAATGTATTGATTTTTTCCAGCCCGCCGTTTTTAAACCAGTCCGCCAGGTCGTCCGTGACCTGCTGAATATTCGGTGCCAGCTCTTTCCCCAGCTGTCCACAGATTTCATCAATGGACGAACCCAGAACACCGGTGAGGTTTGAGACGGCGATATGTCCCCGGACGGCACCATCCGCCCCTTCCCTGGTCACCAGGTTATAGCGCTTCTGCTCCTCAATAAGCTCCCGGTAAGTTTTTCCTGACAGACGCATCCAGGTCAGGATCTTATTACCCTCACCACCAAACAATGCATCCGCCATCCCGGCAGCCTTTTGTTCATCCTTCACCTGCAGCAATCGGTCAAAAAGAAATTCAACCTGCTCCTGGTTGTTTTTTCCCGCCATCGCCCCGGCTTTCAGCCCCAGCGCCCCGAAGACCTGCTGTATGGCACCTTTATCCGATGCGCCATTATCATCATCAAAAACCTTGTTGCGGTACTCCTCAAACAGATCCCCGAAGTTTTCCCCGTTCAGCCCCATCTGCTTACCCAGCGAATCCCACGCTGCATACGTCTCATAATCCACACCGTAACTCCGGGCTATCCCTGCCCGCTCTGCAGTTTCACTGTTCCGGCTAAATGCTGCACCGGCAGCGCCTGCCAGTGTCAGTCCTGCCCCGACCGAAAGCCCTAACCCCGCTTTCAGAGCGGTCTTTCCACGCCCTTTCCAGCGTTCCAGACGTTCCGCACGTGCCAGCTTACGGTTAAATTTATCCTGCTCTCCGGTGGCATCATGAATTTTTTTGCCCAGCTTTTCATACTGCTTTCGCAGTTCAGTAATATCCTGCCCTGCCAGTACGCCAGCCTGAATTTTTCGTTTCAGTACATCCTGCTGGCGAGTCAGGCGAGCCACTTCCTGCGTTGCCCCTGATAATCCGTGCTTCAGTCCATCAACCGATTTTTTCCACGACGGATCTATCGTGCCGCCGATCCTGATATTCGCTTTCAGGTTATCGCCCACCGTTGCCATAACGTCGCCGCCTCTCTTCCGATTCCTCCAGCATCATTGACACAAAATCTGCATACGGCAGCGCCATCACATCTCCGGGAGACCACCCGAACCAGGCACCGGCGCGCCGTATCGCTGTCAGGATGCTGTCTTCTTCCGCCTGACCGGCGGCAGCAAAAAAACATTAAACTGCCGCTCCAGGGCCAGGTAATCACACGCTTCCATATTCATCATGTCCGCCGCATCCATTCCGCACAGGCCGGCTATCATATCCAGATCGGCTTCTGCTTCCGGCTTGGTACTCCGGCGATGTAACAGACGATCGCGGACGGTGGGTGCACGCATGGTGACATGCGAGATTGTCTGACCTGACGCAGTGACATACGGCACGGATAACACAATCTCCACGCTGCTGCAGGGAATACTGTTTATCTCTGGCATATTGATTTCCTCTTAAAAAGAAAAGGCGGCCTGAACCGCCTGAATGACCACTTCTCCAGATCACACCCGGATAATTTTTTTCAGATCCGACAGCACATTCACACCGTTAATGCGCCGTACAAACTGCTCCGGAATAATGCAGATGGTCTCCAGTCCATCGACAGCCTGGCGGTAATAACTCAGTGACATTTCCACCGACACCGCTGCTTCTGCCTGCGAGGTGGACGGACGCGCATCCGGCGTGATACTGGTGATCATCCCCTGAAGGGTTTCCACCAGACCGCTTGTTGCACCGCCCACCTGATACGCCTGACGGACAACAATTTCTGGCGAATAAATCCCTGCCTGCAATCCCAGCAGGGTCAGTATGGCCACGTCGTATCCGTAAATTTTAAACGAGCAGGTCAGCGCCTCCATACCGTCATCCACTGACACCGGCGCATCCATCGCACCGGTTTTGATGTCCACCTTCGTGATATTGATGGCCGGAGGCGTGTACTCATGTGCCCCCTGAAGGCGAATACCACCCGGCAGAAAGAGCGCCCATGCCCGTAGCAGTTTTTTCTCGCATGACATCATACTGTCAGTTCCTCCCGTGCCAGTTTATTGTTGATCATTGTCCGCAGCGTCAGGCGTTCCAGTGGTGACTTCGGCCCGAAGTCATAGTCGATATACAACTGCCCGGCAGCCAGGGTTTCTGCTGTATTCAGTTCGTCGTTCAGCCATGCGCTACCACCGTGGATCGCGCCCAGATTTTTAAGCTGGCGCATGTAGGCATTAATACTGCCGAGAATATCGTCCGCTACATCCCGATCAATCGGACGGTCAACATAAGGCAACATGGATTCCTGAACACTGTCTTCAATCACATCAGCCGTACGGCGCACGGACTCAAAGCGCAACTGGCTGTGAGATGTACACAGGCGGTTACCCCAGTGTTTAAAACCGTCATGACGAATAATGGTGGAGATGTTTTCCATGTTCAGCAGGTTTGCCGTGCAGTTCTGCTCCCCGAGAATAAATGTATCCGCCTGCTCAAGACCGGTGATATTCATCACGTCCTGATTTGATTTGGACCACCACCATCCTTTTTCATAATCAATACGGGCACGTAGTCCGGCTGCGCGTGCCGAATACGGGCGAAACACTGTTTGTCCGCTGTCATCCGTCACCGACACACGCGGACGAAGCAGTTCAACACGCCCACCAAATAACGTCCGGCGCTGAACCACATCCTGCGGCGTTGCCATTGATGGGGAGTCAATATAGGCAACAGCCCGCAGTTTCGCGGCATACGTTTCCAGCGCCTTTGCCACACCATCATCCTCGCTGTAGCCGGTGGCGACAAGAATACGCGGCTGGTAGCCTGTTACGCCTTTGCTCTTCGTCAGAGCTTCCATGGCCTTAATCACTGCGGCACGCTGTTCGGTCTCCTTCGCTTTCGGTTTGCTTTCCGCGCGTACCACAATCACCAGCGCACCGGTCTGGTCAAAAATATCGCGCAGGGCAGGATACAGCGTTCCGGAAGCCCCCAGCTTTCCGGCCTGCGTGAGTGCCCCCGCCACCACCACCGGCGTATTAACCGGAAATGCCTCATCCTCACCGCCGGACAACGTCAGGGTAAAGGGAGATACCACTCCTTCCCCGACAGAATCTGCATTCAGCATGCTGGTATCGGCCATCACCGGTGAATCCTCCAGCGCATTCACAACCTCCTTCACACGTGATGCAGTGGCATTCGTCTCACCATGTTCATCTGTGCCCAGTGTGATCGTCAGGGTGTTTCCCTCCAGAGCCGCGGTTGTCTCTGCGTTTTGCTGCGTGCTTCCGTTGGCCACAACTGAAATCTCATTGCCGGACCGCCCGGCTTTTTTCGCTGTAAAATCCAGCGCGGAACTCAACAACCATGATCCGGCAGTACCGGAAGCACACACACCGCCGGAGGCGTCCGGCGCTGTCCCCACGAGGCCAATCACTGCCGTGGAGACGGTCTGCACGGCAACCGTGCCCGTCGTCAGTTCAATGGTTTCCACACCATGTAGTCCGGACATACATTTCTCCCATAAAAAAACCGCCCCTGAGGCGGTCAGTTGATTTACTTCTTTTTCAGGTGTTTTGTGGAGGTACTGGCCACTCAATGGCGTTATATGAGGTTTTATCGTTGATGGCACTGAAATCCATCGCCTGCAACGATTTCGCGTAAATGCGGTACGCTTTCAGCTTTTCCCTGTCCTCGTCGCTGATTAATCCCAGCAGCAGGTCTTTTTCCCATTCGCTGGTCATTATACTGACCTGTTTTAACAGGGCATCACGCTCGTCTTCCGCTTTAAGTTTGTAGTCGAAAACAAATTCATCATTGCGGTAAAACCAGTAGCCTGATGCTTCAATGCGACGATTAGCGGTAATATCCGGCAACTCAATCACGCTTTTATTTTCCGGGCAGATTGAGGTGATGTCTTTTCCGACCCAGACCACTTCGCCAGTTTCAACATAAATAACTTTCAGGGTGTCTGGTAGAAATTTTTCCTGGGCTTCGTGCCATTCCTGTCCATCATCTGAGAACAGCCACAATAAAAATTTATGCTGTCGCGCCAGCTGGTATTGCTCAATTGTTTTAGGGTTTTGTACCGTAATATTTTTTAAGTGCATCATGATTACAAACTCGCTACATTTCTCCAGACGCCATTAATCAGAACCTGCACCGGGCGTGCATTGGCCCAGTCCACACTTTCACCGCCATCAACACCACTCAGTAAATGACCTGATGGCGCATTTCCCCCGCGTCCAATACCAATGGCACTTCCCAGACGTACATCCTGCACGCCGCCTGTTTTGGTCTGATAGCGGGCATCAAAGTTTCCGTAGTTTGATGGAGTTATCTGCCCATTTACAGCGAATGTGACGCTACCGTCTGTATTTCTCTGACTGTAGAAATGCCAGCCAGAATCATCACCAAGTTCTGCAACTACAGGTCTGGATGGATTACCCCATAAATTAAACCCTACGTTCTTCGTGGAGCTGTTGGAGCTGGATAGCGTGAATTTTTTACTATCCCCGGCCTGAACGTTTTTAAAAGCAACAGCAACTCCATTCTGAAAGCGAAATACGCGCTGATTATTAGCATAAACATCCAGAATGCCATCGCCGTTTTGTTTTATACCTGTATCGTTATCACCGAGAGTAATAGAATTACCACCCAATGCGTTATTCGTACCAAGCGCCAGCCCACCATCAATTTTTACACCGTGGCTGACTGATATAGCGCCTGTTCTCAGATTTATAGCAAATGGCCTTAATGGGCCGATATCACCGTTTTCGCCCCGTCCTTCAGACGTCGGGATAAAATGAAGATATTCTTCCGAACGACGAAAAATCAGGCCAAAAGCATCGTCGAAAATTCTCAGCGCATTCACCGTGCCAATTTTCAGCTCCCCGGTCATGGTGTCACCACCGCGCTGAACGGCATTTTTCGCTTTATCCACCGTAGGTTTTAATCCGAGGTTATCAACCGCTTCATCTTTATCTTCCACATCGGCAAGATTCTCGCCGATGCGCAGATAGCGTTTATCTCCGGCCTCCTGCGTGATAATCG